AGTTGGCATCTTCCGACCCCCCCGCTTACTGTTTGACCGACGCGGACTTCGCCACATCCGTCGAGCAAGGAAGACAAGAAAGAGCACCCTTGACAAGATTATGTCAATCATTCCTCCTGCACTGACGGCTGAGCCGCCAGTGCGGAGCCAATGTCACGGATGACCAGGTGTGCTCTGGGCAAACCAACACTCCTTGCCACGCGAACATGTACCTGTTTCCTTGAAGGAGCGACAGATCATGTCTTTGCCTTTGCCTTTGCCTGTATTATTGTCTCCATCCTTTTTGCGTTTGTCCGAGTTATTACTGGGGGCTCTCGGGCCACCATCACCTCCCGACGATGAGACATTGGCAGCGGCGCCACTGGCTCGTTTAACTGTGCGCTCATACCCCGAAGAGTGCCCCGCGTCAAACTTCGCTTGTTCCCATTTGTCGCGTTTAAGCTTCTCAGCATCGGTCAACCCTCTATGTTCTTTATTGCAACCGCCTGCTGCTCCACGGCAATTCTTGGGATCTCGCGACCACGCGCAGCATGGCATCTTGCTCTCTTTCCCACGCGATCGATTGGATTGACTCCTGTTTCTCTGTTGCGCCCCCTTCCCACGCCCACCCGTCGGGGTCTGCGATCGACTCTGCCCCTTTCGGCCTCGGTCTTTGGATCTCCCTCTGGAGTTCTTGTTCTGGGCAGGGGCGGCATTAGACTTGTTTCCCGCAGCCGGCTGAGCCGGCGCGGCAGCCATGGGCTTCTAATGATTGAAAGGGCAACCCTTTCCAGCATACGGGCAGGTCTCGCCCTTGCACGTTGTTTCGCCCATAGTCAATCCATTCTTCATTACATCGGTGGGTTTCCTTAGTCGGGCTGTAACTTCTGCCGGGGCGGCTTTGCCGCCGGCATTTCGTCGATTGTCATTGCCCCCACCTCCGCCCAACCTGGCCTGCCGAGCACGTTGATCCAAAGTACTCTCACGCACACTGATGTTCCATTCTTCTTCATCACGCAACATCATCCCTTCGATCTGCTCCATCAGTCATCCGTAAGTCTTCACACCCTGTCCCATTTTGTCTTTGGACAGATCATAGAGTTGGCAAACGAAATTCAATGTATTGGGCTTTCTGCATTGCTCGATGAAGTGCGCATGGATCGAAGCTCTCATTTCATCAGACGGAGGTCGGGCGCCGTAGAGCTGTTGGTATACATATGTCCATTCATTATAGAAATGATACACATTAGCGTCTGGCTTGTTGGGGTCAATGACAACCTTGAAGATATCACGCGAAATGCGATATTGGCCTAACTCCGATCTAACAGAACACCAATGACAAATGGCTCGTACCATCTCACGTCCCGTCAAAAGTCTTTCCTCATTCTGGGCGCTGCACTCCATTCGAGTGGTCTGCTGAAGGAAATGTAAGTGATGAATGGGCAAGTTACGATTCCAGCGCATTTTGCTGAATCTCTCAATCAGATTTGTAGCGACCATGAGGTCAAGACGCTGGAAGCGACCTGCTTCTTTGAGTTGTTCATCGTCCACAGCAGGGTTCATAGCTTCCGTAATCCAGCGCTGTGCTGCTTGGCTCTCAGGCGACGACCCAGCGATCGCGCGGATTGTATGCATTTGCCACTCCCGTATATTTGCAACATCGGGGATGTCGAAAAAGTCAACCTTCAGATTGTCTCCAACCTGTCTCCACTGGTCCACCGGAGTACTTTCATCAATACCTCCTGGATCACGTGGCCCCCCTGGGCCCTGAGGTCCACCACGACCACCCCCGCCATCTGAAGATCCCGGTCCCCCCGGACTCCCTGGAGGCGGTTTATCTGGTCGTTTATCGTTAGCGTCGTCGCGCGTCGACATGATCTTAGTACTCGGCGCGTCACTCCTGTCATCCCCATCTTTGTCCCGCCCTGCCCCGCCAGACGGCTTAGCCACTGAAGGCCTCACAGGTCCGCCCCTGGAAAATGGGTGATAATTGACAAAACAGCCATCATCATTGGATCCTGCCAATTTCATGTCGATTGGCAAACCATTCCCAAAGGTACTCGGCTTAGCCGGTCCTTCGAGCGCAGGGCCAGGGACAGCAAAGTTGGGTCGCATAATAGACCGCACAGGAGTTTCTTGCGAAAGTACAGGCATATCGAATGAACTCAAGGTGGGCATTTTTCTTGCCCTTTTTCACTGTACGGAAATTGATTTGTGATGATAGCTTTAAGCTTCATCCTTCCTTTCTCTGATTCAGCTGCATTCGTTTTGGCCTCACATTTCTCTCGGATGTTGGCGGCTGACCTTTCTGAACCCATTATAATATGTTCTCTGGCCTGCTTCGTCGTTCGTTGCATATTTTGTCAACGCTATATTCATCGAGGAGCTTTTGCTGTTGTTCCCAAAACTCGCGATCGGTGCTGCGTTGATTCCATTGCTCATTCCACTTCTCTAGTTCCGCCGGCAAACTCTTCTTTTGAGTACATGTAGAACATCTTTTTGGTGTTCGCATCAAAATGATCTTTGCAGGCCGGCAATCCACAAGTAGCGCAATCGTCTGTTTTCGGGTTGAAGCAAACTGAGCAACTCTCTTCCTCGCCCCGTTTCGCAGGCTGCGGCTGCGGCGCAGTTCTCACTTGCAACGTCGACGACCCCGCATTCGTTGCGGTCATCAAGTCAGACTGAGGCGGAACGGGTGCTGCGCCAGACGGCTGAGCCGTGGGCGACGGTCGCCTGCCCGTCCCAGCCGGCTTAGCCGGCGGGCACGTGTCATTGCTCAACTGCAGACGCTGGAGGGATGCTCTAGCATTTTCATGCGACTTGAGTTCTTCTCGATATTGGTTGTTTTGGTCAGCTATCTTCGCAGCTACAACTTGGGTGTTAATCACTTCCAGCCTGGCGTTTTGAAGCTTTTCTTGAAGCTGCTGTTTTTCTCGTTCTGCCCTGGCTGTAGCGATTTTCTCTCCTTCTACTCTAGCCGCTGCTACGGCCGCGGAGACGGTTTTGGCATCAACAGACTGATTAGTCGCCGCCACAACGGCCTGTCGTTCGGAAGCCAGCATCTCGACATATCGGTTCTCGGCTTCTTTCTCCGCCTGCCGCTTGGCGACCGCGGTCCGACGGTGCACCAGCCCCACAAACACTCGTTCCCGCTCTCTGGCAGCCTTGGCCAGGGCGAGCCTTTAAGCCTCGAACGTCTTCCGAACATCTTCAATGGTTGCAATCATCTCCTCTCGATCCAGTCGAGCCTTTTCGGCCAGCTGCGCTTCGCTTGCCAGGAACTCCTGCTGAGTCTTAGCTTCAACAAGTCTAGCCTGGTCCTGAATAGCTAGTATGAGAAGATACGTGCAGTTATGCTCGCTCATAGGAACGCAATCTACACACAATCATCGGTTGCTGCATTTGGGGCATACATCAGAGCAACTTTTACATACTGGACGCCTACACGCACCCTCTGGCTTGCGAGCTTTCCCCGGGCATCTGCTCTCCGCCTGAGGCGCGCAGTCAGAATTCCAGTTCCAGCATGTCCCAAGAATGGATATAGTGCTGCTGCTCCTTGAAGCAGATCGCGCCCCTGATCTCGGCATTCGGGGTCTCCCCCGACTCGAAGCGCTTGATCGAGGACGCACGTGCGTACATCCTGGGGGTTCGGCACTTCCCGAAGCTCCCCATCCCTTTCATCCTGTCTTATTAGCTCAGTGTATGAAGCTGGTTGTTCAACCATTTCTTCATCCTCGACAACAGCCGGTATCCAGGGCTGCCAGTCGCCTGAGGCGACGGCGGAAAGATAGAAACCTCCTTTAAGCGGTGAGTCGTTCAAATCGCAATCCTCGTTCCTCTGCTTCTTGAGTTGAGGGGCGGGAGTCCGTCCTGTAGACCCCCTATCGTGCTTCGCCTGAGATTGATGTTCGATATCAGCCTTGTCCGCCTGAGGCGTCAGGTCACTTGTATCTTCATCTGAACCATCTGGAGACCACTGGTCTGCATCCATTAACGAAAACAGTTCTCGGCTCAAGGAAACTCGTTTGTTGGCATGTTCGTAATCTTTCTCCATGGAGTTTATTTCATGCTCTCTATCGTTTGGCTCATCACTAGCTTGTCCGAACTGTCCGTTCAATGCTATCGGGATGGGAAGATTTCCGCTCGTGCCTCCCCATCCGCCTGGGACGTCAGGGTACACGCCTGTGGAATCTTAAGCTACTCCCGACCCACTGGCTTCACCAGTGGCCAGTACGAATGTATGTGCAGCAATCGGAGTAGGACTTATTGACTCCGATGATTCGGCGATCAGAGACGAGAATGCTCCTCGTCTGGATCTCGCTGTTACGCCATTCCGTCCGTGCGGGTCTCGGGGTTGTTCGCGACTACCAATCGGAACTCCAGAGGGAGAGCCATCTTCCGACATCTCAACAACCTCTTCACTACTTCTACCCCGAGAGACCCGAGTGGCGATACTAGAAGAGGGAAGGCGGCCCTGCCCCGGGCCGCTCTCCTGTAGGTCATGTCCGTCATGTTGCACAACTTGCTGTTCAGCGTTTCGCGAAGTGGCTGACATTTCATCTGTCTTATCATAGCGCATACCCGCAGCGACTAAGTCGCAGGGTTCGTCAGAAGACCAGACTCCTGGCTGATATAAACCCGTATCGACTATGTCGCGGCTTTCGGCTGATAACCAGTCTTTCCTCTGAGAATCTGGGTAAGATGACAATGGAATTAAGGTCTCGTGTTCACCCTGCTCAGTGGTAGAGGGTGCGGGACGAGACATCGATAAGACAAATATCCGGTAAGCGAATGTACTCTATCAGGAATAGTAAGGGAGGAGGCCGGCTGACCGACGACCGACGAAGTGCGACGGCCGAGGGCGGGCGCGCTCCTTTTATCTCCTGTACGCTCACGCGTAGCTTGAGTACAACACAGCTGCAGATAGTCACACAGTGCGCATCAAAGCAAGTGATGTGAAAAGCAGCATGAATATGAGGCGGAGAGGAGCTTATTTACTCATCACCCTTGGGGAGGAAGGCCTGGACCGTGGCATTGCATTCGTCGGGGAGGATGCCTCCGTTGAGCATGTAGCACATGACATCCCAGAAGGTCTCGGTGCACTTTTCGTGGGCGGCCCAGGCGGTGTACGGAAGCCCATCCATCCCAGGTGAGGTAGAGGAAGAACGGAAGGCGAACTTTTTGAGGGTCTCGTAGTCGGGCGGGTTGAAAATGTTGAAGTTGAACTTGGGCGAGAATTGGGAGAGGTAGTCGGCAGCTTTGTCCAGGTCGATCTGCTTGCCCTCGAAGACTGGTTGCCAGTGTTCCACCAGCTTCTGCAATCTGTCTTTCGGCCCCATCACGGTGCCGACGCTGGTCTTGACGCCCGTCAGGACGAGCCTCTTGCTGATCGGGTTCCAGAGTTTGATTTTCCTCTGCAGAGCGTGCGATTGCGCACGGGCCTGCGCGGGGCGCAGGCGCCCGCGCAGAGTGCCGTGGTTGATGGCAGCTTGCCTCTGGTCAGCGTCCTGGCGGAAGAGGTTGCTGGCCCACTCCTCGAACTTGATAGGAGGCCGAGGAGGACGAGGACGAAGAGGACCGAGGAGGCAGAGGAGGGAGGGAGGAGCGAGGGGCAAAGAGGCAGCCCACAGGTCTCCAGTGGCGGCTAGCTCGGCTGCACCGTCCGCGGGTAAGCTCGGCAGCTCTCGCTGAAGTCGCTGGCCACGTCGTCGGAGTCCTCGACATCGCTGCGAGAGCAGAGGGTATCGGCTCGCCCCGACGCCAGCGTGGCGAAGAACGCCGCCGCGCTCGCCGACGGTGCGGTGGCGCTACCAGTAGGAGCGATAGATAGCGGTCTTGGGCGAGTCTCGGCCACTGGCGGGTCCCCCGACCTAGGCCTAAGGAAAGGCCCAGAAGCCAGAGCTCCTCCTGAGCACAAAGTGGTTCTTGTTTCAGCGTTTTGGCTGAGCGCGAGCCCGACGCCAGCGTGGCGGAGAACGCCGTTACGTTCGGCGCCGGTGCGGTGTTCTGCATGCTTCGTAGAGGTGTTCAGGAAGAGTCGACGGGAACTGTCCCAGCTGTCGGAGGAACCCATGTCGGCGCATCCGCAGCTTCGAAGCCCATCGCGCTGGCTGGCTCCGAACGGAAGCGGCGTGGCTTGCAGCATGCACATGGTCATCACGGCCGGCATGGCGGCAACGCAAGTCCTACGCAGGAAAGCCGTCCCTCCCCATTGTCATACACCCTCGCGTAAAATCGAGGGGCCTGGCGAGCACAAGCTGTTTGAGCGTGGGTGCGAGGGCCCGATTCGGAGGAAAGTGCTCCGTCTTGTCTCACATGCCCAGCCGCGCAAGCGGACACTCTACCGCGAAGCCTTTCAGCTGGCAGGTGCCAAAACAAATGGAGTATCTCGCCCTTGGCCGACTCGCAGCCCAACGGGTAGCCGTGTCGGCTGGCAAGAGTCGAAGTAAGTGGGACATCTCGTCCTTGGCCGACTCGCAGCCCAGCGGGCAGCCGTCGGCGCCGCGCACGTGCCAAAATAGAGCCGATAATGCTCCAGGATGCTCCAGCATTGGCAAAAAGAAGACTGCCCGGCGGCAGGCGACCTAAGCAGCATGATCACATAGCAAAGAAGACATTACCCTGTACTGCACGTGCGGGAGACCACACGGGAAAGAGTACAGGAGGCCATGCTGGAGACAATACGGGAACCATACGGGAGACCACGGGAGACCATACGGGACGCCATACGAGAGACCATGCGGGAGACCACACAGGAGACCATACTGGAAAAAATGATGCGGGAGAACGTACAGGACAACATGCGGGAAAGCAAACGGGAGACCACACGGGAAGCCATTTGCCATTTACGCAATACCCCTTGTTCACCTTGTCCTTGTCAGATTTGCTTTCAGCCGTTCAACAGCTGTTGCTCATGGCATTTCCTTCTCGAACGCTTCTGGCTTCTACCACCACCCCTTGACTGTTCAGCCTCTATCGATCTTTGTCGTCACTGTTCGGTTTGTCCTTTCTATGTGCAGCCTTTGACTGCTTAACATCTACCCGCGCTCCATCCTTCGCCCTCCCCCCCTCTCTCCCTCTCCCTACCTCCCTCGCTCCCTCTCCCTCCCTCTCTCCCTCACGAGAGCACCCTCTCCACAACTCTGGGTGGGCCAGGAGGAGAGAGAGAGAGAGAGAGACAGAGAAAGAGAGAGTAGGGCCTAGGGGTGAGGAGCCTCGACGCACGAAAAGGCGTGGATGCCGATGCGGGGGTACTGGGGACTCGAGGTGCAAACGGTACGGACGCTTTGAAGTATCGATACCTGGACGTATGCACGCATGGAGGTACGGACACATGGAAGTGCGGATGGCCGGAGGTATGGATGCGAAGGAGTGTGGGGATGCTAATTGAAGCACACCCCTGCAGGCATGCATCCCGAAAGACTGTCGCCTGGACGTAGACACGCCTAGAGAGGTGGACGCCCAAATTACCATCCGACCGCCACTTGTCGGATTCAGGAGACCCTGGACCCAAACAAATTGCCACCTCTTGGATGAATGCGTTTTGCTTCTGCAGGCTTCCGCCAGCCTTCGGCCAGCTTCCGCCAGATGAGGCGGCCTTGTTTCCCTTCCGCCAGTTTCCGACGGCCTTCCACCGCCGTCCGCCGACGAAGAGATATCAGCTCCCTCGACCCTCGAAGGCGAGGCGCCTTCTGGAACGCCCCACTTGCACTGCAAGCCGCTCGCATTTGTGTTTAGCCCCCAGGTGGCAGCGGCTAGATCGCGGCGGCGTCGCAGACGGCCGCCGCTGGCCACGGGGCGGCTGGAAGATCAACCCGCGCCAGAGCGAGCTGGGGTTCAGTCCAACTCCTCATTCCTCGGGGGGGGTGAAAAAACAGTTCGTGTCGTGAAAACTCTGGCGGTGGCTTCTGACTCCGCGTGGATCGCTCCACCTTGAACGATCGGCGTCTTCTCGATCGCTAAATCGTTCAATAATTTGGTTTGTCCAGTGGCAACCTCCAACCTTGAACGCCCGCGGCGGGGTCGCTGCCGCGTCGACACGACACGAACCTACCGTAGGGAGCCAGACATCATCGCGTCGTGGCACTTTTCGGCCTCCACGGAAAGTCGCCGGTCCACGGGAAGAGGCCCCCAGACCTTTGAGGAGCCGCGCTGCGGAAAAAGCGCGGCATCAGACGTCTGGGGACGAAGGGGAAAAAGGGTGGAGCTGGTGGCAATCGCTTCAGCCGCTTAAAATGGCCTTCCCTGGCTGCGCTCGAGCTCATGTCTGACGGCTGCAGTGGGATTATGAAAGGATGCGTTGGTTCGCTGCTCTCTCTCGCTCGGTCATACCGAAGTCTGCGCACTCCCCTTCGAAGTATGAAACAGGCCAGCACGAGTAAACAAACAACAGCACGTGAGCACGATCGAAACGCAACTCCCTGTCTGCTGCCGCCAGGTCATTGCCATTCGCACTGGGCATCAAAATCGATCAGATTCCAGGGTCGACTGCGCCGCGCGCACGCTGCTCGCAATATGATTCGCACGACGGGTTTGCAGCATTCGCGTAGCAAAATTGCCTGCCACAGGTTGGATCACCCGATTTTCTCCTTCGGGCTTACTGTCGTTGCACCCTCGCTCGGCGACGGTAGCCCTCAATATCTTTCTTGCTTTCGAGTCGGGCATGGGCCGTGGCCCGCCCCGCAGCGCCGATGATCTCAGGGTGAAGCAATGCTGCTCCGATGCTGTAGCGCCCACTCTATGGCGAGCGCCCCAGCGTGAAAAGCCGACTCCGCTGAAAGTAACAGCGAGCCCCGCCGCACAAAGCTCGATACTCGCAAGCCTTGCCCTCATGAGAGCGCCGCGCCGCCAGCAGCGCCATCCCCGCGGCGCCTGCACCGGTGCTCCGGAGGCCGCCGTCGACGCATAGCCGCAGAGCCTCGCCCCTCAAGAGCGCCGTCTGGATGGCCGGCCAATCCGCCCAGCAAACTTCTGCCCCTGCATCCAATGCTGCATTGGCCGCGTGATCCGCATGATTGTTGTAATCCCGGGGAGCCCACGCCACCAGGTCGGACGCGTCCGTCGCGGGTAGCCAACCAAGATGGCGCAATCGAAGCAGACTGCGTGCAATTCTGATAAGCAGAGGTCTGTCCGAATATCTGAGAGAGCGTGATCCACCGCCGCTTTACTGTGGAAAATTGCCAACCTTTTCCTCCGGAACCCGGGGGTCTCCCCCCCCCCCTCCGAAAATCCCCCCCCTGCTGGAACCCCCTCCCCCCCCCCCCCTCCCTCCCGGCAACCCCCCCCCCCCCCCTCCCCTAACCCCTCCCCCCCCCCCCCTCCCCCTCGAAAACGGGGGGGGTCACTACCGGTTCGAAACCTCCCCCCCCCTCCCCCCCCCCCCCCTCCGGATCCGGAAAACCGGGGAGGGGTCACTACCGGTTGGACCCCCCCCCCCCCCCCCCCTCGAAAACCGGAGGGGGTCACTACCGGTTCGACCCCCTCCCCCCCACGCACCGCCAGCAAACGACTCCCGGTCCCTACCACCGCTCGCATGACATCCCCCACTGTTGTTCCCAGCACCACTGTCCTCACCACCACTGCCCCCGCTGGTTCCACCACCGTCCCTATTGTCCCCACCAGTGCCCCCACCACTGTCGCACTGTCCCCACTGTTCCCACAACTGTTCCCACCACGGTTCCACTCTCCCCACTGTCTCCACGGACCCAACCACTGCCTATCCCCACTGTCCCCACTGTCCCACTGACTCCTCCGCTGTCCCACTGAGCTGTCCCACTGTTCCCACCACTGTCCCCACTGTCCCCACCACTGTCCCCACTGTACCTCTGTCCCATTGTCCCACCGCCGTCCTCGCCGACGCCTTTACCAGTGTCCCCACCACCATTGTACCCTCCACTGTCCCAGTGTTTCCACCTCATTCCCACTGTCCCCACACCACTGTCCCCACCACCACCGTTCCCACCACTGTCCACTGTCCCCCCTGTTCCCACCATTGTCCCCACCACTGTCCCCACCACTACCGTCCCCACCGCTGTCCCACTGTCCCCCCACTGTCCCCACCACTGTCCCGCTGTCCCCTCACCACTGTCCCCACCAACACCGTCCCCACCACTGTCCGCACCCCCACTCGGTTTTCGAGGGGGGGGGGGGGTTCGAACCGGTAGTGACCCCCCCCCCTTTTCATGATGAGCTGGGGGGGGGGGGGGGTTCGAACCGGTAGTGACCCCCCCCCCCCGTTTTTCCGGTGGGGGGGGGGGGGGGGGTTCGAACCGGTAGTGACCCCCCCCGGTTTTCCGCCAGCAGCGGTAGAACACGCTCTTTCGAATATCTGGCCAGCCGCGCTCTTTCTGATGCGAGCTCTGCGATAGCACGGCAGTCGACCTGCACCCACAACCGCATGGGCCCAGAGCCCCACGCACAGTCCAATGGGTGGCCGAGTAGCGGCGGAGGAAACCGTCCGTGGACATGGCGTCGGAGAGAGCGGCCCCTCGCGAGAGCGAGCCGCATCTGGCTGTCGCGGTAAATGCCACAAGTCGCACGCTGCGTTGACAAAGTCAGAACAACCACGCATCCAAGCTGCCATCGAACCTGTCGCGCCCCGCGTGGCCCTCCAGTGGCTGCTAAGCACTTCCACGAAAACAAACTCCCATGGAGTGGGTTGCTGGCCACCGCGCTTGCGGGTGCAACCCTCGCGTTTCCGCTTCTTTTTGGTCCCCGCTGCCAAGACAACCCCCCACCACACATAGGATCGCCACGCGCGGGCATCTGCCAACGGCCGTTCGCCGAAGTGGCATGGTGAAGAATCTTCCATCCAGGCTGCCTTGTAGACGGCTGTCAACACGCGACGGTAGACCGGTTCGAGGAAACCTTCTGGAACCATATGAAAATCTGGGCGGCCGATCTCTGGTTGAAAGATGCCCTATTCTCTGCCGGCCTCGGCTTCATCCGGAACGTGTGTCGCGACCGCTGCACTTCCCACGTTCGGAGGGATCGCGTAGGCCCCCCGTCACATGCCACGTCTGGCAAGCGAAAATGGCCGCAGTAGCTGGTGAATCGTGCCACGCCCGGAGGCGGAACGCGCAGTTCTCGCAAGTGGGAAAAGGAGATTGCGTCTGCCGCCCTCTGTCGGCGGGCCTGGCTCCGGCAGGCGGAACCCTGGCTGTCGAGGACGTCGCCGAGGATCGTCATCTCCTTCAAAATCGCGCACTTCAAGACAGCACCCTGCTGCAACATCTCGAAGGAAGGCAACTACGCATCCACGAGAGTGCCCCCAGCCAACACTTCGAGGGAAGACGCCTCGCATTGACAGCTGCAGCAACCTCTGCCAACATGGCCTGCATCATCGCCGGGCCCGAAGCGAAGAGGAACCCGTTGTCCGCCCACACTGCGTGCGAAAAATATTGCGCCCCCTCGGGGAGATCAAGTCGGAAGCTCATTCCCCTCACAGCCCAAGAGCACACCAGCGGCTCCAAGGCATGATCAACGACAGCATTCGATTCCTCTGGCGTCTCCACCCCCCCTTGCTTGCCGCCCTTGCTGTAATCGAAAGGCTCGGTTGCGCCTACTCCTGGTAGGGTTGCGGCGGCTTTCAGCCCGCGGTGAGCTCCCTCATGAAGATGGTCGCCGACTGGGCCGTCGCCCCGCGCGCGCGCAGAGCTTCCACAATGAGAGGGTGCTCCATCGAGTCGAAGGCCGTTGCCACGTCCTGGGGGGATACCAGAAGAAGATGAGTCTAGACATCTGCGAGAAAAAGAGCTGGCGGACCAACCCAATCACCATGGTCACATTCGAGTGTCGTTTGAATCCGCACGCGCGCACGTGAGAAGGTCGGAGTTGTTGCCGGACGCGAGGAAGACTCGACTGGATAAACCACTTCTACAGCGAAAATCAGTGAAGGTTCGCGCCCCGCGGCACTTCGGCAATCCAATAAACTCGAAAATCTTCCAGAATGGGGAGCTGCTGCTGTTGTCAGTAAAATAAAAGCGAACGGAAAACAAGTTGAATGGACGTAAGACGGCCAACCATGGCAACGCCAAGTACACCTTGGGAGGCACACCGTCGGCTCCCAGCGCTGAGCCTGGGGAAAATCTAGCACGGCCCTGAAGAAAGTCCCAGAGTTCAAACTTGTCTCGCCTCCAGCCGCCCAGCTGTTCAGCAAATTATCCTGCGACGTACCCAACCCTTTCTACACAAGTGGCAATTGCATTCAGGACCACTCAATACCGAAGGACATTTCGGCGCCATGGTATAGCGGTGATCTGCGTAGGACGTACCTCCGCAGCCCATGCGCGCCAGGTGAGCCAAGCTCGCCGGGCGCACCAGGTGCGCCAGGTGCGCCAGGTGCGCCAGGTGCGCCAGGTGCGCCAGGTGCGCCAGGTGCGCCAGGCGCGCCAGGCGCGCCAGGTGCGCCAGATGCGCCAGGTGCGCGCCAGGTGCGCCAGGATGCACCAGGTGTGCCAGGTGTGCGCCAGGTGCGCGCCGGGTGCGCGCCGGGTGCGCCAGGTGCGCCAGTTGCACCAGGCGCGCCAGGCGCGCCAGGTGCGCCAAGTGCGCCAGGTGCGGCAGGTGCGTCAGGTGCGCTCAGCACGCCAGGTGCGTCAGGTGCGCCCAGAGCGCCAGGTGCGCGCCAGGTGCGCGCCAGGTGCGCCAGGTGCGACAGGTGCGACAGGTGTGCCAGGTGCGCCAGGTGCGCCAGATGCGCGCCAGGTGCGCCCAGCGCGCGCCAGGTGCGCGCCAGGCGCGACAAGTGCGCCAGGTGCGCCATGCGCGCCAGGCGCGCCAGGTGCGCGCCAGGTGCTCCCAGCGCGCCAGGTGCGCCAGGTGCGCCCAGCGCGTCAGGTGCGCCAGGTGCGCGCCAGGTGTGCGCCACGTGTGCGCCAGGTGCGCGCCAGGTGCGCCAGGTGCGCCAGGTGCGCCAGGTGTGCCAGGTGCGCCAGTTGCGCCAGGCGCGCCAAGTGAGCCAGGTGCGCCATGTGCGCCAGGTGCGACAGGTGCGCCAGGTGCGCCAGGTGCGCCAGGTGCGACAGGCGCGCCAGGTGCGCCAGGTCTGCGCTAGGTGTGGCAGGTGCGCCAGGTGCGCCCAGCGCGCCAGGTGCGCCAGGTGCGCCAGATGCACCAGGTGTGCCAGGTGTGCGCCAGGTGCGCGCCGGGTGCGCGCCGGGTGCGCCAGGTGCGCCAGTTGCACCAGGCGCGCCAGGCGCGCCAGGTGCGCCAGGTGCGCCAGGTGCGGCAGGTGCGTCAGGTGCGCTCAGCGCGCCAGGTGCGCCAGGTGCGCCCAGAGCGCCAGGTGCGCGCCAGGTGCGCGCCAGGTGCGCCAGGTGCGACAGGTGCGACAGGTGCGCCAGGTGCGCCAGGTGCGTCAGGTGCGCCAGGTGCGCGCCAGGTGCGCCCAGCGCGTCAGGTGCGTCAGGTGCGCCCAGCGCGCCAGGTGCGCGCCAGGTGCGCCGGGTGCGCGCCAGGTGCGCCAAGGGGACAGGGATGCCTCAAAGTGGTCTGCGTAAGGCGTACCTCCGCTGGGCCTCCCAAGAACCCACGAAAGTGGCGACAGCTGCGCACATCGCAGCCCCGCAGGAGACAGGGAGGCCTCAAAGTGGTCTGCGTAAGACGCACCTCCGCTGGGCCTCCCAGGAACCCACGAAAGTGGCGACAGTTGCGCAGATCGCAGCCCCGCAGGGGACAGGGAGGCCTCAAAATGGTCTGCGTAAGACGTACCTCCGCTGGGCCCCCCAGGAACCCACGAAAGTGGCGACAGTTCCGCACATCGCAGCCCCCCAGGGGACAGGGAGGCTTCAAAGTGGATCTGCGTAAGACGCACCTCCGCTGGGCCTCCCAGGAACCCACGCAAGTGGCGACAGCTGCGCACATCGCAGCCCCGCAGGGGACAGGGAGGCCTTAAAATGGTCTGCGTAAGACGTACCTCCGCCGGGCCTCCCAGGAGCCCACGAAGTGGCGACAGCTGCGCACATCGCAGCCCCCCCCCCCAGCCCCCCCCAGGGACAGGGAGGCCTCAAAGTGGTCTGCGTAAGACGCACCTCCGCTGGGCCTCCCAGGAACCCACGAAAGTGGCGACAGTTCCACAGATCGCAGCCCCGCAGGGGACAGGGAGGCACCAAAGAGATCTGCGTAAGACGCACCTCTGCTGGGCCTCCCAGGAGCCCATGAAGTGGCGACAGTTGCGCAGATCGCAGCCCCCCCAGGGGACAGGGAGGCCTCAAAGTGATCTGCGTAAGACGCACCTCCGCTGGGTCTCCCAGGAACCTACGAAAGTGGCGACAGCTGCGCACATCGCAGCCCCGCGGGGGGCAGGGAGGCCCCAAAGTGATCTGCGTAAGACGCACCTCCGCTGGGCCTCCCAGGAGCCCACGAAGTGGCGACAGTTGCGCAGATCGCAGCCCCGCAGGGCACCGCGAAAACAGGAGAGAAGAAGGAGGAGAGGGCGGGAGGTGGAAACCACAGTGCTCTGTTCAAAACGAATACCCAACACAAGGAGGGTTGGGAAAAAATCCAAATGAAGCCCATTCAGGCGGGGCCTCTGGGAGTCGACGGGGTTAGCCTCGTCACCAAATCGATGCCCCCCAAAAGAGCGGAGACCCCTCAACCACTCTTGTCTGTTGCACTCCACGGCGCCATCAATCGCAAAAGAAATTGGCGTGCCAGAAAATCTCTCGCACAGCGTCCGAGTTTCAACAGTTGTCTGCACGCCCTCTCCCTCGCGCGACGTGCCTGCAGCGCGCGCCGATGCTTGAACATCAGCTTGCCGGTGGGATCTCCGGTGAAAGTGGCTGGCAGGCACGGAACACGAGCTCCTCCTGGAACCGAAGATGCGGGATGCTTCAGCACCACGTCACGTGCCAGCAGTACTAGCTTCGACTCCACGTCCTCCAGGGTGGCTGCCAGGAATTCGGGCCCCGTGCATTTCCTCTGGAATTCTAAGCGGGCCTTGTCGTCGGCGGGCCCCCAAGCTCTCAGAGCCGCTGGAGAGCGGGCCTGCGGTTGCAAAGTGAGAGGCTGGAACCGCAAATGCGCTTCCACCACGCGGTGGTCCATACGCTTCCGGAGGGCAGAATCTTTCCGAACGTGACACTCACGCGCAGCAAAAGCCTCGCCCTGGATGCCCCCGCTCACCGCCACGAAATCGATGTGGGAACGTCTGCGTAGAGCCCGGGTCCAGCCACATGTCCATAGATCCGAGGTGTCGCGCTGTCGCCCGTACGTGTTCAGCGCCCTCAGCCCGAACTGTCCCACCCAATACAATATGGCACGTTGCATAGCAGCAGCATGGCTTGACAACGCCGGGAGGGCATTAGCCCCCGCGAGGCCGCAATACTTTGGCGGCAGCGTCACGTTCGCATCAAAGCCAGCAATACTAGCAAAGTTGAGTTTACCTAGATAACATGCATCGTGAAGTTTACCCAGATAACATGCATCAAATCGCGCCCACGCGCAATCCCCCCTGTGTCCGCGAAGGCGCGCGCAGGAAGTGGACGCTGAAGGTCCAGATCCCCTGCAACAAAACTCCACTCCAGCAGGGTCGAGGTCCCACCTCGCGGATACGCGGGTTCAGGCCGCTCGGAATGAGGAAGCCACAATCGAATCCATCCCTGCCCTCTCCGCGATCAGGGTGCGATCGACTAGTGAGCGCAATATGCCCACCAAAGCGAGAGCCATCGATCGATCTTGGCACTTCCTGTAAGCAAATAATATAATCCCCCCAGCCCAATCGCTTCAAAGCTCGAGCGATCGATCTTCCCACGGCCTGCTTCTTCTTACCAGCATTAAAAGTCACAACCGAGAGCTCATCTTTTGTGGCCCCCGAATTGCCCTCGAGGCCCCGCTACTTGCGCTTGAACGCGAGGAGCTTCTGAATCCCCTCCTCCGCCGAGGTCAATCCAAGAGCTCGCAACCTGGCCCGGCGACACTCCACGGCGCCCCCCTGGCGGGCACCAGCGATCGCAATCGCGCCGGGGGCCTCGTTGCCATCCCCCGGCTGCTTCAGGGTGATACGAAGCGCTGGCTGAGGTACGAGGTCTTGCTCACCGCGCGCTGGTTACATAGCACCAGCGGGGCGCTGGTCGGGGCTCCGACGTCGGCAATCAGGTTGGTGGCCCGCTGCCAGCCCAGGATTACCTTCTTCCACCTGTGCCAGTCATCAACACTGGGGCCCAACAGCACACCAAGGTACTCGGCCATGTCCGCGATCGTCACGCCACTCCAGCGAGGTGCGAGCTCAGTGATCTTGGCGCGCACCCTGTCCTCCACAGCTGGGGTGAAAGCTTCCGCCGGAGGGGTGATCTTGCACTTGGCCGTCTTCAGCGCGAGGCGCGCCAGTATCTCCGCCGCACAGAACACACTGCTCATAGGGCGAAGCATCCTCAGCGACGGGAGCACGCTGCCCACGTCGTCGGCACAGACGCCGATCATCGCCCCCTCGAAGCCCGCCGTCCGCGAGTGCATGCCCCTGATCAGCGGGCCCACGCCAACAGCCCACAGCGTGCCCGACCAAGGACACCCCTGGAGGATGTCCGAGGCGAGAGCGCAGAAGACCTCGCTGGGGCCTCCGAGGTTGGTGAAGGCGACGGGCAGGAGGTAGATCGCGTCAATCACGTTGCGGATGCCCTCTGGAAAGCCAGCACTCCCCAGCGCCATTTTGAGCCAGGTCCTGCATATTGACGGGAACGCGTCGCCGAAGTCGTAGAGCACCATCAGCGGGCCCTTGTCCGTCGGGTCGTCTTGCATGGCCACAATGCGGGACTGTGCATCCATCGCCACCGCGCGTTCTATGAAGCGTCGCTCCGGGAGGAAGCCTTTCTGCGCACCATGGGCACCTTTCGCGACAATCGGCTTCATCAACTCGTTGCCCGTGGCAGCCACTATCTTGCAGTCCGTGTTCTTCAGGGAGAGGGGTCTCGTAACCTTGGCCAGTCTCGTAGCGGTGAGCCCATCATCAGGCTCCGATCCTTTCGGAGTGAATATCACGAGCGAGTCGCTGAAGTCCAACGGAACAGGGTTACCTTTCATAACCTCGAGCGCCACCTGGAGCAAGACCTGCGCCGAGGAGGGCATGCGCTTCCAGGCCGTGCACGGGATACCGTCTGGACCTGGCGCCGAGTTGTTGAGCTTTCGCATGAGGTTCTGCATCTTGCCTAGCGTCGGGATGTCCATCTGCGAGCAGTCGCAGGGGGCGATGTGCTTGTCGAGGTAGGGCCGCACATGCTCGGTGTGACTCGGCTTCGCCTGGAAAACAGGCGACCACTGGCGTCGAAGCTCGGCAATCATGTCATCGGGATTATTGGCGGCGCTGCGGTCGTGGAGGACCTCGATGGCCTTGAGCTTCAGCGCTTTGCCAGTTGGGGGCCAGCTCGCCGCGCCTCTGGATCGCTCTCTGCATTTTGCTTGAGGTAGGGGGGGGGGGGGGCCTCGCTTGTTCCTCCTGCTGCATGGCCTCCGTCCGCTGGTCCAGGTACTCCTTCTGGTGCAGCTCGAACGCGCGGCGGAAAGTCCCCGGCTCGATCAGCGCGATGCCGTTGCTATCAGAGATGTCTGGGAACTTCGCGCCCAGCTCCGCGCGAGCGCGAAGTGCGCGAGCGCTCTTCCAGTCATTCCTCCAGACAGCCCTTGAGGTCGCCCTGCGCGTCGTCAGGGCAGCCGCCGAGCATGGCGCATGCGCGTCTGTCAGGTCATCGCGCGTCAGTCTGGCCGCCACGTGGATGAGGCGATTGTACTCCTTGAGGCGAATGAAGGGCGGATAGTTGCCCATGTCAGCAGCACCGCTCAGCAGGTCAAGGTATTTGGCGAAGAAGGGGTTCTCGAATATGTACTGCGGTATCGGCTGCATCCCATGGTCCTCAGGTGCGCGTGCTGCGAGCTGGAGGTGAACTGGGGCGCGGTCAGAGATGCCTATGCCGAAGAGGGCGTCAGGCGCCACGGGCACGTCCACCTTCGCACACCACTGGATCAGCAACCACGGCGGGGAACTGAAGTAGATCTTGTCAATCCGCGCGCCTTGCTGCGAGTGCTCGGTGTAGTGCGCGGGCAACACAGGATCCACCTCGAGCATGTCACCCAGTGTTTGATCCCACAGTGGCTGGTGCTCAGGATGGCGATTACGTCGTCGAGGGAGGCCCTTCTTGACCAGCGGCGCCGTCATCTCGAGCGGCGCCTCATCCATGACGTTGAAGTCACCCATGACCAGCACTGTGATCCGCTCAGGTTGTTGCTCAGCGATGCCTAGCTCGGCGCGGACCGAGCCCCTCGCGCGCTGGACCTGGTCCGCAGTGAGCTGGAAGTTGTGAATGCTGTAGATCACGATCATGTCGGGGTCATGTTGGGGAGCGCGCCCTCGCCAGCACCGGTTACGTCCGACTTGATTTGAAGCCGGGCGCGTCCAGGGATGGGCTCCGAGCGACGAAATCGACCAGGGTCAGTAGCTTCGATCGGCGACAGCCCAGGAATGGGCAGCGCGACGCCACCAGCGCCACGATTAGGAATGGAGGCGAAGCAGGCCGCGGCCACGTGGGCCAAGTGAATCTCGCGGTTGAGCTTCGCCTCCGAGCCATGGACCTCCTGCAGCGCAAGCACCGCCGTGGAGTTCATCACCTTCAACATGTACGAGATCTTCTTCTTCCTCATGATAGGGCCCCTGCACAGTAAGGCCCTCGAGTTCCAGGTCGCGAAAGAGATCGGTTTCGATGGTTGCGCCCCTCGCCAGGGGGCTGAGGCCCTGTTAAATCTGCCACTGGACGTTCTGAGCTTCGAGCGAGGTCTGAAAGAGTTGTTCGAACTGCTTGCGGATATCCTCGCGATTGAGCCCATGTTGGAAGCAGCCGTTGTAGTTGAAGAGCAATCGGGTGGCGCCATCCTTTGTGGCCCCCACCACGATGGAGAGGACTGGCATATTGCTGCTGTAGACGATGCCCTGCTGACGGTCACCTGGCCAACGCTTCGCGGCGTTTTGTGCCCTGCTGAACTGGGCGAGCTTCTCGGCCTGCTCTTCCCTCCGCGCCGTTTTCCCTGAGCGATCGAGGCCGAGGAAGAGTCGAGTAGCATGTCCGTGTACACTTTGAACTTCTGTATTGAGCCATTCACCATCTGAACCTCTGAGCTTGCTATAGAAGGCCCTGACCTTGCGAGCCGATGCGTTGGCGCCCCCACTGAACTGTATGAGGAGGCGACGAGCGGGGCTCTTCCCGACCACCTCCCCGTCGCCTTCACTGAGTTCGCACCTGTCCATGATCGGTTGGATGCTGCGCTTGAACTGATCCGCTGTGTAATTATCCGCTGCCGTGCCGACGATGATACTGGTGTCCGCCGCTCTGTCCCACTCGATGAGGCTCTCATAATCCTTGATCGGGATCTGCGCTTCTTGCATGTGTAGCCGCTGTCGCATTTCTGCAACTTGAGCACGTAGGTATTGTTGTTCTGCTTCGAGCTTGGATGAGGCAGCCTGTAGCGATTGGATCTGTCCCGTGAAACGTTCATTCTGCTTCTGCTGCTGACCGACGACAGCGCCCAGAGGTCCTTTGAGCTGCGCGGCGAACTCGGCGATGACCTCCTGCTTGACGGTGGCGAGCTTCGCATCGAGCTGCGCGGTGAGGAAGTCCTGCGAGGCCCTGATCGCAGCGCTGGCGGCGCCCATGGGGTCGAGCAGCTCGGATGAGGTAGAAGCGTTGGACGCCCCATTCCGTTCAGCAGTTCCTTCAGCGCGGTGTCGCTTGGTTCCTTCAGCAGCGGCTCGAGCAGCCGGTTCTCTCCACGGGTCGTGTTCATGAAAGGCATCAGGGGCACGACCACCTCCTCGCGGGAGAGGCCCTCCGCTTGCACCAGCACCAGTGGATTGGCCAGCCACAGGAGCATTGTCACCACCACCTCCACGTAGAGCCGACATCCGCGGGAGCCTCTGCGTGCCTGGGGCAGACCAGGGTTTGGAATATGGATGCGAGGGGCGGACCTGGTCTTCTGAACACGGATGCCAGGGGCGGACCTGGACTTCAGAGCAGTTAGAACTCGGGTTGGGAGCCTACCCCGCGAAAGCAGTTCTGGAGAGATCGCCATTTGGCCTTTGAGCCAAAATGGTTACGGGAATATTTACACGCATATATATGTATAAATATGGATATGTATATATATGTGTATATATATATATATATATATATTCTTAGGATGGACGAATGGGCAGAGACACATGCAAATTGCAATACGGAGAGGGGCATCGGTAAGTCCAGGGGTGGATGGGGGGGAGATCCTACAGTCTAGTAGACAAGAGAATATAGGCTGAGCAAAATACGCAGTACAAGCCAGGTGGTGATGTCAGGTGTATGCAGCCTTTTGTATGCAATCTATGTTGTGCAATATGTGGTGCAATGTATATGCTGCAATCGATGTGCTGCAATCAACGTGGTGCAGCATGTGTTGTGCTATCTATGTGGCGGAGTCTGGAAACCCTGAACCCACAAATTGTGTCATGTATTGGGTGCACATGTTTTACTTCCGCCACCTTTCGCCACCCTTCCGCCGCCATTCCGCCAGATACCGCTGGCGGAGGCGGCCTCGCTTTACTTCCGCCGCCTTCCGCCGCCTTCCGCCGAGGGAGAGATGGCAACTCCTTCGATCCTCGAAGGCAAGGCCCCTTTTGGAACGCGTGGTGCGCAATTTATGTGGTGCAATATGTGTTGAAATCGATGTTGTGCAATACGCGTTTTGCAACATATGTTGCGCAATCTATGTGGGGCGCCGACGGCGGCCACATAGCCGCCAGACCGACGGCCCAGATGACGGGTGGCGACGAGGCGGCGTCGGGGCGGCGACAGCGAACACATAGCCACCAGACCGAAGGCACATCCCAATTCCTTAGAACAGAATTGAAAACCCTTAAGTGCAAGCACTGCTTGGGGAACGAAGAAAAAGGGATGGATGAGGAGCAGGAGGGGGAGGAGGAGGAGGGGGAGGAGGAGGAGGAGGAGGAGGAGGAGAAGGAGGAGGGGGAGGATCGGCGGCCAGCCGGCTCCAGCAGGCGGAGTCGGCCAGCAGCGAAGCGTGCCAGAAGCACCAGCAGGAAGAGGAGGAGAAGGAAGAGGAGGAGCGAAAGGAAGAGGAGGAGGAGGAGGAGGAGAAGGAGGAGCAGGAGGAGGAGGAGTGGAAGAGCGGAGGAGGGGGAAAGGGAAGGGGGAGGAAAGGGAGTAGGAGGACGAGAAGCGAGGGCGACTCTGGTTCTGGCTCCCGGGTCCAGTGCCAGAGTCCCACAAGGCTCTTCTCCAGGCCGAGGGCGCGCACCCCTTCCTCGCAGGCCTTCTGCGCGCCCTGCGAGCCCAACGACACAACCAGCACCGTCCTCCAGGGGCCACACCTCCTCCTCCTCCTCCTCCTCTCCTCCTCCTCCTCCTCCCTCCTCCTCCTCCTCCTCCTCCTCCTCTCCTCCTCCTCCTCCTCCTCCTCCTCCTCCTCCTCCTCCTCCTCCTCCTCCTCCTCCTCCTCCTCCTCCTCCTCCTCCTCCTCCTCCTCCTCCTCCTCTCTCCTCCTCCTCCTCCTCCTCCTCCTCCTCCTCTCCTCCTCCTCCTCCTCCTCCTCCCTCCTCCTTTTTCCTTTCCTCCTCCTCCCCTCTCCTCCTCCTCCTCCTCCTCCTCCTCTCCTCCTCCTCTCCTCCTCCTCCTCCTCCTCCTCCTCCTCCCTCTCCTCCTCTCCTCCTCCTCCTCCTCCTCCTCCTCCTCCTCCTCCTCCTCCCTCCTCCTGCTCCTCCTCCTCTCCTCCTCCTCCTCCTCCTCCTCCTCCTCCTCCTCCTCCTCCTCCTCCTCCTCCTCCTCCTCCTCCTCCTCCTCCTCCTCCTCCTCCTCCTCCTCCTCCTCCTCCTCCTCCTCCCAGGCCCGAACGCGGCGCCCCCCCCCTCCAAATTCCGGTCTGGGTCCGCTATCAGAGTAGCGACGAGGCGGGGCGTTTGCCATTTTTGGCCACAGCATACTTTATATACTGTACCAGTGTTCGGTGCCAGCGCGTTGGCCGCCTCGAGTGGCTGACCACGCCTGCCGAGATGCCTGGACTTCGGCGGAAGAAGACTCATCCTGGCTGGAATCCTCGTCAGCGGGAGGCGCGAGCGCAGGCTCGCGTAATTGCCAAAGTGTCTGAATCTCCGGTTATCAAGGCAAGACGGCTACTCAATCAGCATCATTCAAGTTCCTCAAAGTCGTAGTTCTGTGCTGCGCGTGCTACTTCAAACTTCTTGGAGCGACACGCTTGCCGAAATTATGGTGTCACGCGGACAGAGTACGGATCAGCACCGGTTGCGGACACGTTCGAAAGACAGCCGTGGGTCAAAAACCATCAGACAAGTCCTCTGTCAAAAGGCTCGCGGGGAAGAGCACGGAAACGCGCTGGCAAAGGATCAGAATCGAATCTTTCGACGCCTGCAGGTACAGAGGTGAAACAAGTATCAGCAAGGCGTCCACGGCGCACGAGATCACCATCAGTTTCTTTTGCCGACGACGAGGAGGATGGATCCAGAGACGAAAATCAAAGATCTTGGCGCAGCATTCCTGCTCTGCCGTAAGGGGCTCGACTACATCAACACTTCCCTGGGGAGCTAGAACCTTCTGCGACGGCCAAACAATGGAGTGTCTTCATCACAGAGCGCAGGCAGCAGTTGAAAATTGTAGCAGGCATCCTCAGACTCAAAGAAAAGTCGGGCGACATCGCGTACGAAGAACGCTATTCGCACTCAGTTGCCCCCACTGCCATCCACCTTCGTCGCCCTCTCGAAGACCCGTTGTCCAGGCAAGAGTCTGCTCTACAAAGGTCGGAGTCGACACTTCATGAAAGTGGCCCCTGCTTTCTTTGGCACTGGTATCCGTTTGCGAATACAGAGCTGATGTCCCCGAAGTCGATCTCGAGACCCATGGACACGTTCAGCTGCATGCTCATCATCCACGCATCCTTTGGTACCATCGGCGTGTAGGCCTCCAATTCCGCCAGCTCTGGGTCCTTGTCTCATCCGCCGACTCATCGGCACTTCGCCGCCCTCCGGCCGTCCTTCGGCTTCCAGGTGTAGCAGCGCCGGCTAGGCATGACCCAGCCCGGGCGCATTTTCCGAACCTCGTCCGCCTTCTGCGGCGGTAGAACCTTGATCGCGCTAGCACCCAAGATGTTCTTCCACTCGATGCCCTTCTCCTCTCCGGTGAGGTCCTTCAAGGATACCCCCTTGCGTTTGGCCCCCTGCCTGACCGATAAATGCGCCACTTCCACCGCCATCTCTCGTTCCATCGGCATCTCCGGGTCTCGTCCACTGGCTTCTTCGGCGATTCACTCTTTTCCGGTGCCGGTCCTGGCGCGCACACTCCGCGCGCTGGTCTCTTAAAGGTGACCCTCCGCCTAGGGGCGTCCTCCACAGCGGGCGGCCCCCCGATCATCGGGACGTCGGTTGGCTCTTCAGCTCCTTGACCTTCTTCCGGTAGTACCACTTCAGGAACTGGATGCTTCTCCTGTCCCAGCTCCTCCTTCACGTCGGCGCTTGGCGTCTCTGGATCTGCTGCCTGAAGTACCTCGGGTCCTGCTGCTAGGTTGCCCCTCAGCCCCGGGTGAGTCCAGCTGGTCTGAGATGGCCTCCACCCTGCGCTTGCCCTGAGCTCCCTTCGGTTGTCGCGCTCCTCCCGTCTCCGTCACGCAGCGGTTCGCTTGCGCTTCAGCTGCAGTCGCCGCCCTCAGCTGTCTCCAGCTGCACAGGATAACTCCTACTCGGTAAGACAAATAAGCCTTCCCCGGGATGTTGGTGCTGATAACGGTCGCCGGCCCTCGCCAGTGCCCCCAAGCCTCTCGCTCGGGGCCCTGCTGCCGCAAGAAGAAGACCTTGTCCCCAGGCTTCCAGTCGCCTCTGCACGGAGTGCTCCATCGGTTCTTCGCCTAGTTCAACTGGTCCATCACTGGCTCTCTGGCGCATGCTTCCGGGCAGCGAGCCGAAGTTTCATGGCCCTCACCAGGGCCTTGTCTCCGGCTGCAAATCGAGGCCGACGTCACCGTCGTCCTCCTGGGGGCCCTCTGGTAACTGAACTCCTTGACCGAACACTCGTAGATCAGGACCTCGTTCGTTAACTGCGCAGTTGACCGCGTCGAACAGCTGCCCCTGGTCCTCAGCGCTCAAGATCGTCTCGGTGAGCCTGATGCGGTAGCAAGTCCCCTTCCACAGCTGCCCCGCGGCCTCGGTCTTCCCATTATGGCACTCGCTCTCTGCTCCGACTGGGCCCAGCCCCGTGCCCTCTGCGCCCGCTCGGTCTGCGAAGATCCCGCGGATGACCCCCTCCTCCCGGTCGCTGATCTGCCGCTTGGGCCTGCCGCATGCTCGGGGCCAGTACTTGCGGTAGGCGTCTCGAATTGTGCGGCCCCCGGTCTGGGAGTCGCCCCACCGCCTGCTTGCCCGCCCCCCAGTCGACGACGTTGAGACATGGCGTCGTTTCGTTATTCGGTTTGTTCAGGCTGTCCCAGGCGGTGTCCACAAAGACGAGATCCATGCCGATCACTTTGTTAAACTCGAAGCTCTCGGGCGTCGGTGACCTTGCTGGTGGCGTTGACATCGGATGCTCCGTGGCATCGCAGACGTCGCATGTCTCGATGACCTTCTCCATGGCGTCCAGTAGCTCCGGCTTCGCCTTGGCCATCTTCAGCACGAAGGTGGTTCGTCTCAGAACCGCGTGGCCCATGCTAGCGTGGATTCTCCTCGCGATAGTCTCCCAGGTCTCTCCTCCAGGACCTGTAGCGGTAGCGTCGTAGAGAGCCATGACCACATGCATATCCTCAACGGGTTCCGCGCCATTCTTAATGATCACCTTGCGGATCGCCTTCGCAACGTGAGGTGGGCATGTCTGTGACCACTGTGAGATATTGTGCAGTTCGCCGTTCACGTCCCTCCAGTTATCGAACAACGTCGTGTGCTCGTGGTCCTTGGCGCATCGCGTCTCTAGCTCCCCCGCGTGGTCTAAAGTCGCGAGCATCGCCGTCGGCTTCTTCGGCAGTCCTCGCCCGCTTGGGCCCGTCTGGCCGCGGGCGCACTGGTCCAGCACAATCCTCTGGAGTCTTGGATGCTTCATGATCCTGCGCGTCGCTGCCAGGCCCCAGGACGCGGAGGTCCAAGGGTGCTCTAGGTAGAAGTGGCGGCCCGCATCCAACTGCATCCTGGCGATGCGAAGAGCGAACCTCAGGAACAGCAGGGCCTCCTTGCACCGCTTCTCCCACCCGTCGGTCCTAGTCGGCACACAGGTTCTGAAGGGCGCAGAACATCGTGAGTGGTGGAGCCAGTCCCACGACCTTCGGCCTCCGTCTCTCGATTTCCGTCAGCGCCCACATGCGGTCCTCCTTCCGCCGGCAGCCCCAGCCTGTCCCCAGGTCGAGCGCCAGGTCTCAGGAGATGGTCTTCTGGTTCTCGCTGTCCAGGACCCTCGGTGGTGAGAAGATCTCGAGGTCGTCGGCGCACGCGCTTCTCTCGAAATTGCTGACAATGTTGCCGCCCTTCATGAACAGGATCTGTTCCGGCACATGGCTCACCGGGTCCCCCACGATGCGTTCCCACCACCCGTTCTTAATGTCTCTCGTTCTGGGTTCCGACGGCTCATGCCAGAAATCCGTCGAGATATCCCCGATGCCCTTGCCGCCCGAGAATTCGTAGATCCTGTAGTGCGCCACTTCACCTCCCACCACTGTGGGTCATCACAGTTGCCTGTCACTGTCCTGGCACGTGCCGCTTGGTCGTGCTTCACGCATTGCTTCAGACCGTTCCGTCCTCCCAGGGCCCGCCCGATGGCACTCTCTTCCTCGCTGCATCCGCCGCCCTCGTGTCCTCGGGCCCCGGCCTCTCGCCCGATCTCCTCGCCCAGGTCCTTGGTCGCCGCGCTCGGTCCCCGCCTGGGTCCTCGCAGTGCTTCGCCTTCAGGTCGCTCTTGATCTCGACGCACTGGATGAACTGCCCCATCGCGACGTTCAGGTGGGTCGCCGTCGCCGATGTCCGAATCCAGGCGCAGTAGCCGGGATCGCTGGCGCACGCCTCCTCGTAGGCCCCCCCGGTGCATGCTGCCAAACAGGACCTTCTTCGAGTCCCGGCTCTTTGCCAGCGCCTGCGGGTAGATGCTGTCCTCGGTGAGCTTGGCATCGTATTTCCGCAGTGCCTCCTGCAGGTCGATCGCCCTCATGTTCCGCGGGATCCCCGGCAGGCAGAGCTCCCAGGTGTTGCACAGCTCCACCAGCTCCGCCTTCAGGGTCGGCACCGCGCTTGCCTCGTGGAGCTGCTGGTCGCCTCGGTGTCTCCTCCGCGGTTTCCAGAAACCCGCATCGCAGCGCCTGCGCCTGCCCGGCGCACCAGC